CCCCCCCCCCCCCACTCCCTGACGGAGCCAGGAACTTCACCCTTACCCCCAGACAGAAGCAGACACTCCCCACCTTCACACTCCCTGCCTACCTGATGGATCTCCTGCCAGCCGTTCTCATCAGTGGTCCCCAGCTGAGCATGGTCGTGAAGGAGCAGCTCGCAGCAGAGGGCATCCCCGCCCCCGAGGGCACTGTGGTACAAGGGCGTCAGGCCGCGGCTGTCCTTGTAGTCAGGTGAAGCGCCCAGGTCCAGCAGAGTCTGAGGGCAAGGAGCCTCAGCATTCATGCGGGGCCCAGCTTCCTCCCCCTGCTGGGCCACGTGCCCCTCCAGGCCAGGGCCCCACCCACACTGACCGTCAGAGCTGCGGCATTCCGCTGGCGTGTGGCACAGTGCACGGCAGTGAGCCCATCGCGGGTGCGGAAATCCAAGTGAGCACCACCATTCCTCAACACCTTCAGCAGGTCCGTGGCGTTGTCCAGCTGGGCTGCAAGGCTCAGAGGACACTCTGGGTTCAAGGGACAGATGAAGGTTAAGGTCCCAACCATTCCAAGGCCATGCCCCTTCCTGCTCTGCTTCTTACCTCCTGAGTCAGGATCGTGGAAATTGGGGTCCAGCCCCTTGTCCAGTAAGCGGGCTACCTTGTCCGTGCTGTGCAGCTGGACGTAGTCCATGAACTTCTTCAGGTTTGCCTGGAACACGCAGCCATCCTACTCAGCCCAGCCCCACAGCTACTATCTTCTGTCACCCACCTTCCACCAGGAGGCCTTAGGCCCCTGTGGAGCATCTACTGCCCCATGCCCCCAGTCTGACCTGTCAGCCTACATCATGACCTTGTCGCCCCCTCATACCACCTCAAGCCCTACACCCCCACCATGGCCCTTCCCAGCTCAACTGGGCCCTCCTGCTGCTTGAAGTCCCTCCCTGCATCCCACACCCACTGCAATGATTAGTCTCAGCCCACCCAGCCCCTCATCAAGGCCACGTTGCCCTGGCCATGCCCCCCTGAGAGTTCCCTACCCCAACCTCACCCCTGGCTCCTGCCCCCAGCCCTGGTGTGCCAACCTGCCCAGCCCGGAACAGCCCAAGGCTCCCAGGCAGAAGCTACCCTCACCACAGCCCATGTCCCTGTCACCCCCAAGTCCCCATCACCCCCAAGGTAGCCTGCTCCTTCTTCCTCATGAGATCATGCAAAGGCAGACCACCACCCCAGAGGCCCTTCCGCACCCATAAGCGGCCCCTCCTGTGACATGACTTTGACTGCCTTTCATTCATTCACCTAGTCATGCATCAATTCACTCAGCAAAATTCACTCATCCAAAGCCTCACTGAGGCTGGTGCTACAGATGCTGCATGCACAAGGCACGGCGCCCTGGCTGGAGGCCCCAGGTCTTCTAGAAACAATCAGGGTACATCATAAATGGGAACCAAGGTGGGTCTGGACAATGACACAGGAGGAAAGGTGCTCCTGACAGGGGAGAGACCTCAGCCAGGCCCAGGGTGGATGGTATGATGGTGGGGGTGGTCAGAGGCCAGGCAGGTAGAAGTACGGGCCTGGGGTAAGGAGTTGAAACTCGCTCTAAAAGCAAGTGGGACTCATTGGAGGCCAATAGTCACCAATGTCCTAGGGATTGCTTGGGACAGTTTTAGAGAAGAGGTAACCACTTTGGGAGGAACCCAGAGCGACAGGGTCACACTGGGGTGAGTGGAGAGAGAGGGAGACCTTTCCACCACAGTCTCTGCCCAGCCGGAGTCATGGGCCCTGACCCCTGTGTGCCCCAGGGGCAGCAGAGAGACCTGGCATGGGGGCCCCAGGGTCACAGAGAGGTCCTTGGGACACAGGGGTGATAGTGCTCAGATCCTTCTCCTAGAAGGAGACAGGCTCCAGGGATTGTCAATGAAGTGTCCAGAAAGCAAATGTCCGCTGGTCACTGGAGCCTGAGGTGGGAGCTGAGAGAGTCGGCCTGTGGGTAGGGGCTGCGGCACCCACACTGCCTCTCCTACATTCAGAGAAGGCAGTGAGGTGCCCCTCAGAGAATATTCAGGGTCAGGCCTACCTAGCAATGGTGCTCAGCAAGTGTGCCTAGGCACAGGGACCCAGAGCCAAACAGACCAGGGTTCAGCCCCAGCTTCACTGTCTGCACACCTGTGAGCAAGTCACTTCACTTCTCTGGGACTCAGTATCTTCATCTGGGAAGTGGGATAATAATAGTCCCTCCCAGGAGAAAATTAATGAGATGCCCAATTATTAGTGCCCAGCACTGGGCGACCACTAAATGCTAGGCCCCTTGTTCTCCCCCACCCCCTCCCGGTTCCCCTAAATGAGAACATTGGTTGGTGCTTGTTCATTTTCACCCCACCCAGGCTCCCACCAAGACGCCATGCCCTGTCATATCCCACCACCACCACCCCGCAGGAGCCCACCAGAGGGGTCAGCCAGAATCTGACCTGACTTGAGCCCATCACCAGACCACCCACACAACAGCTGCACCCAGCCCTCCAGCAGCCCCAGCACATGCTGTGGACCCCTGACACAGGAGAAAACAGACTGAGGCAAGCTAGAGAGACTGTGCTCAGCCCCCAGCCAGGGTGGAGGGTGCTAGGAGCAGAAGGAGGGCTCTCGAGAATTTTTAAAGGACATTTTCAATATCACGAAATCCAGCCAAGGCCGGGGTTGAAGAGAACACTGCTCGTGGGGGTCAGGAGGTAACTCTGGAGTCCCTTCCCCGTGGCTGCCTCCTTACCTTTGTGTGAAGCTTTGCAAACTGCTTATCATCGATGAGGTTCTGGGCATAAACTCGCCTCTTGTATCGAAACTGCTCAGGTGAAAAAAAAGGCAGAGAAAAGGCACTCACCTGGGCTGAGTGAGCAAATGCACCGACAAAACCAAGCCCTGCTTACTCACCCTGCCAGCCACCCAAAGCTCATGCTGCCAGTGACACAAGAGCCAACCCCAAGTTCAGATGGGATGAATGCCTGCTGTCCTGCACCACCCTTTCCCTCTCATTCCCATCCCCAGGATCCCCTGGAAAATCCCGCTCCTCTTCCAAGACCTGATTCCAGGCTTACCTTCCTAGGTATGTCCTCTCTGAGAACAAACCCTATTTCCCTATGACACCAAAAAGGCCAAGCCACTTCGTGCTCAGCCACCATAATGCATATTTTAATGCTCATGGCACTTGCCACCACCGCCCCAAACTACAAGCCTGTGTCCCCACGCCTGACGGCGCATACAATATCCTTTCCATTATGACCGGGTCTGCCTTCAGAGACACCCTGGAAGGGGAGGGGGCAGATGTGCGTACAGGTAACGCGCCGGCTCGCTCTACACACCGCTCTGCACACTCACACCCCACTCTGCAGAACCACGGTGTGCCCCCGACGCACAGATGCTGACTGCACACCACACACAAGGCTCGCACCTCACACGCTACACACACCACACTGCGCACCGCACACACACTGCACGTACCGCTCACTGCGCTGGCCACACACAGCCTCCCACCCCCGCCCCGCACACACACACCGCTCCACACTAACTCTTCCCGTCCGCGTCCGTCGCTACCGTGCCCTTCGCTGCTCCTGCCACGGAACCCTGTGGTGGTGCCCTGCGCGCGCCCCTGCCCGCTCACCTCCAGGTAGGGCAGGGGCGTGTCCAGGTTGGGCGGGTACTCCTGCAAGAGCCGCTCCTCGTCCAGGAACTTGCCTGCGCGGCCCCGGGAGGGCGGCTGGAAGAGCCCGTAGTTGAGCGCGTCCTGGAGGCTGTGGTTGAGGGCGCAGAGCACGCGTTGCTTGGCGGCCCACACGGGGGCGGCCGGGTCCAGGCGCAGGCACTTCTGCAGCGGAGCGAGCTCGTGAGCGCGGCCCGGCCCGACCCCGCGCAGAGCACCAGGTC